AAAGCTTTTTGTAAAATAAAAATGATGTTGGTCGTTTTTCAGTTTCGCATCTCATATATCGATTTTATACAAATTTTTCTATACATTTTTAAACAAAATATTTTGAAATCAAATAAAATACGGTTCAAATGTTATATATTATAATTTAACTTACCCAATTCAATTGTAACCCGTATACACAGAGACAATATCGTATTAATTGAACATTATTGTGGAGCACGATGAATTATATATAATGAAGTTCATCTTCCTATAGGGATGTAAACGAGTCGAGCTAGCTCGTAAGCCGAAGTTCAAGACTCGAATAAAAATAGATTGAGTTTTTGTTGCTCGAGCAGAGCCAAAGCTTGACCGAACAATGGGGCTTGTCTCGAGCTTTCAGTTTGAGCATTTTTGAGCTAAGCTGAACTAACTAATTTTTCTCTTCGATTCTAATTTTTTTAAGAAGCCAGTAGGTAACTACGATTGTCTTTAAATTCAAAAGTACCATAGCTGTAGAGTTACCTTTTAAAAAGGCTGTATTTCAACTGCCCATTCCTAAAACACGGGCCAAAATGGCTCTTGTTAGTGTGGCTGACACAGGAGGGCCCTTGTAGCTCGCTCAAGCTCGAGCTCGAGCCAACACTTAAAAATGAGGTTTGGCCCGAGCCACGAATCGGCTTCAAAAAGTCATGAGCAGAGCCCGTTTGGGTTTTTTTTGGGTCAAGTCATGGGCCACTCAAATCGACGAGCCAGATTAACATTCTTATTCATATACATTTTTAAATGAAATATCTTGAACGTTGAATAAATAAATTCATATATAAACAACAACATATCTTTCCATATTACTTAAGTCATTGTTCAAAAACACTGAAATCTTTTTAAAAGACTCTAGTGGTTTATAAGACTCGAGTCTTTTCTTAAGAAATGACTGCATTCTTTTAAAACAACTACAATTGTTCAAAGGACTCCAACTTTTTCTTCAAGAACAACTTCAGTCTTCTAAAATGATTGAAAAACTACAATTGCTTATTTTTAATTTGATTAATATTTTTGAATTTATGTTATATCAATAATCTAGTAAAATATTATGTTATTATTGCATGAGAAGTAAAACATTTTAAATATCAATATTTCATAAGAGTATGGTATTATTACTCCTGAATGAGCACAAATTTTAAAGCAATATTCTAGAAGAATATTTAGTTATTATTAAGCGCCTATTTGAGAGAAATTTTCATCCAGATTTTAATTCGTCAATTGATTGTTGCCAATGCAAAATGGGCCCATTGCTGTTTCCTTTTTTGACTTCCTTCTCAAATGAATTCGCACAGTGGGACCAACCTTCACTTTGCAACGGTAAAAAGATTGCTTTTAATCTTGTAGAAATTGTTGTCGGACAAGGGCTAATTATTATTCATCCATAATTTTTTCAGCTGCTCCTGATAAAGCATAAATTGGGACTTTACCATATACTTCGGAGAATATTATTTTATTATTTTTTAAGAAGGCAATATAACTCAAATCAACGTTATTAAAAATATTTTTGTCTCCAAAAATGACTTTTTACTTTAATATTTAAAGAGAAAAATATTTTGTTATTGCTCCATTAGAATATAATGTAATAAGTTTCAATTTTGAATGATACATTTGTGCTCCCGACGTAACACAAATCTCGAAATATATCTATGATTTACATTCATATTTAATTATGTTTATACTCCCAAGAAAGCACAACTAAATGTGATATAATTAAATATCGCATTAATAATTTAGATAAGTAATGTGTTGATGTTTTGGGAAAAAAAAAACCAAATTATATAAATATTCTATCTAGACTGGAATCTATTTATACATATTAATATTCCAAAATAATATCACTTTTAATATAGTAAAGATAATGTAATTCTAGATAATGGTAAAAACTAATACGAGATTCTGCATATTCTTATTCAAAGCTTAAGAAAAGGTAATATTGTGTAATATGGGAGACAAACTTATATTGCTTGTAATTTGTTCTTCACTAAATAGAAGAGAAACCTACAAAACACTATTTCTTAATTGGTATACTATACTAATATTAGTATAATTGAAACAAATAATGTATTAAATCAAAAGTTCAATAACTCTAGTTTTTATTATTTACTATGCCCAATTATATCATCGTTGGATCAATAATGGTGCAAAATGCGAATCCAAATAAATATTTGACTAAGAACCAGAATATTTTTCAATCTAATGAATTCACATAAAATACTTATTCCCTATATCATAAATTGATCATTGACCATCCCAAATAATGTTGGAACTAAATCTTTATAATCTTGAAAACTAATTAAGATGATATATGGGCACCCGTCACCATTCATGTCGAACATATAGATATTATTTGTATCTAATAAATATACTGATTATTATATGATATTCACAGCATGAAGTTTACAAAATTACTATTCAAATTTTAAATTTTGAGCATTATATTCAGATTAGACAATCAACACAGTGTGTTTTTTTAATACTAGTGAGCTTAAATCTCAATTTTTTTAATATGTACTAGTTGTGATGACGATAAATGATTTAACACTATTGTTTGTTCATGCCTTTAATTAATCTATAAATCATTACTATTGAGAACAAATGCTTTCCAGTTGTTTAGGGAATGATTTTTTTCATGCTACATTTGGCTTATGGTTAGAATCTAATTTTTCTATTTAATTATTTTGATAGTGCAATTGATCCACTATAATGCAATAAAATGGAAAGTAAAGATCGTTGAGAATAAATGTATAGTTTGAACATTTATAAAATATCTCAAGCCTTAACGTGTGATATTCTATAACACAGTTTGCTGATTGTCAATTTGATTGGACAGTTTTCTCAGTATAAGGAGGAGAAATTAAGTTGAAAATAATATTATAATATACAAATACATCATTTATACTATCTAGACCTCTTAAAAGATAATTTGAACTCGAAGTTCGAAAGATAATTCATTTATATACATTTACTGATCAAAGAAAATAACGATATATCACACACCAACTTTAAGTGTTCCAACTTCAATTGAAGAACAATCCATTAAAATTTTATTTGATATATTTATGGCAAACCAGAAGAGTGAATACATTTGATATTTAGACAAAAATCTACAATAGAAAATTGAGCACTCTTGGAGAACATATGGACATAATTAATTATGAAATCATAAAACAGATTCAAGTATTTAAGATATTGAAATAAAGATATTTCAATATGTTATATCGTTATAAAAAAGAAATAGAAAAGAAAAGAAAAGAAAAGAAAAAGTTATTGACAATATTTTTGTATACAATGTACCGCTTCATATTGTAAATGATAATTATATCGAAATAAATTCATTGAAGCATATCGATCAAAGAAATAATTGGTCCAATAGAACAACACAATCCTAGTAAAATTATTATTAGGGAAATTTGGAGTTTATGGATTTGTAGTTCGAAAATATGCATACTTATGTGAATAGAAATGAGAAAAATGAGGTCATAATATATAATGCACGAATCTCAACATGGTGAATTTTACAAAGTCGTGGTGAATGCATTCACAAGTCCATATCTTGTTATCCTAATGATGCATGAAAATTTAAATGCAATTAAAGCCCATTCATGTGACATGACCATCAATGTTATACCTAAATGATTTAATATGTCTGAAACATATAATTCAAGTAATAGTGTCGTGAGGGAAATAAATACGCATTGTACTCTTTTTTTCTCGATCAAGGTTTGTTCCTATTGGATTTTTCTGACAAGATATTTGATGAGACAACTTTTTAAGTGTATTCAAAAGAATAATATACTCTTTTCTTTTATTAAAATTTATATCACGAATTTTTTCTAATAAAATTTTAAGGAATCATATTCTTTGTGTAATGAATGTTCAAGATATTTACCCTAAAAAATAATATTCTCATATGTACAAATTGTGTACAACTCTAGACGGGAGCAAAAACTCAATTAATTTTTCAATAGATCATCATGTAGACTAAATATAAATAAAGATTAATAAATATCATCCATAAAAACAATATTGCTTGAAGGATATAACAAAACAACATGAAATATGTTTCACAGAATTGCAATATTAAAGATATTGACGTATAAGACATGAATAGTTTGATACCGGAATTTCATTTATTGAAACTAAGAAAAATAGCTGTATTCTTTTTTTACTTCGCTTAAGGGGGTGTTTGTGCTCCATTATTTGTGAGTAATGTATTATGGAATAGTGACTGATGTTGAAACGTGTGGTTAAAAAAGAATTTTTTTATTTACGTGTAATATTATTTTAATGAAAAATGTATGGTTGAAAATGAATACTGTAGAAAAATAATGTGGCATAATAGTAGACAAACAAAGCCCAAGTTTTGTCTTACAAAATTTTAACCGCATTATTTTCTTATTCCAAATTTGTTATAATTATTTGTACTATTTTTCTTTCTTTTGATAATTTGTTCGCTGAATTTTTATAAAATAAAATTTTAACGAGGCATATATTGTGTAATGAGTTATTCAAGGGGATTGTCGCAATTTATATGTTTATTAGCGAATGATCGTTGTAACTCTACAACTTTAGTTATTACTTGCAACTCTAAGAGTGTGTTCCATTACTTTATTTTTCCTTAAAAATGTCATTTTTCCATCCAAATTCTTATTTTTGGGGGTATTTGATTGACAATTTTTTCATGAAAAATAAATTTTCAATTTTTGGTCATGTGATCATATTTTTTTTTAAAAATAAAGAAAATATAGGGTGAGATGAGTTTTATTTTCCACGTAATTCACTTTCTCTCTCTCTTTCTCATCTATTCCCCTCTATCATCAACTCGCAATTATCCGCACTTTAATTTTTCCCTATAAATATGGAGATTTTGTCCTCAATAAATTACACACAAGTGGCTTCTTTCATTTTTCTCTTTATTTTATAACACAAATTTATTTTTAAGCTTATTTTAGTGCATGTTTGGCTAAGCTAAATGTTACTTTAAACATTTTAATGCTTATCCAAACACGACATAATAAAATAATAGCTGCTAAACTGCTTGCACTCACAGGCACAAGCACCGATGGCCATTTCCGTTGTGCGATCACCCACATGGGAAGAAATTGACAGCGCTGAAAGGTAAAAAATTCACCCTCTCACTTCTTCATTCTTGTTATAGTATGCCATAAAAATTAAACTTTTTCTTTCTTTTTCGTATCGGCAGTTATCTTGTGTGCTGTATGTTCGATGAATCGGCGTCCTTGTCGTCCTCTATTCTATCGAGATTGCTTGAAAATTGTGATTATAAAAGAAAGGGAAACCAATTTCCGGAGAATTACGAAAATGAATGGGATGATATGTTGGAATCAGCGGGCATGGTTTTGGTTCAATCCATGAAGCAGCTCCAAAGGTAAAGAGTAAAGTTTTAATTCCTAATGAATTGGAATTTGAGGTTTTACTTTGTAATTTTTGGGCAAGGGAGTTTCTTGAATTTTCAACTTTGTTTTCTAATATTCAGGACATCTGAGATTTTCAAGGAGCTTAAATTGTTATTTGGCTCCGTAGCTGCTATTCCTGCGCAAGTTTTCCTCGCCGGGTATTGATTTTTCTTTTTTGCTTGAGTAGTTCGGTTCCATTAATTAAACGTTGGTTAGTGCTAAACATTTAGCGTCTGTTCGAGCCTCATTCTTTTTTTTAAAAAAAAAGTACATTCTTAAACGATATTTTTAAGTCATTTCAATCACACATTATTCAATAAAATAATATTACACTTAAATCTAAAACTTTTTCTTATTTTTTAAGCACACATTTTGCATCAATACACTATTCAAAAATTTATTTCTACGAAAAGAATGGGGCTCAAACAAGAGCTTAGAGCAGTATTTAATTTTATTAGCATTTTGCCATAAGGTTTCACTTATTTTATATATGCTTTTTCCTTAATAGCATTATAGGATTACCGGAATGTACGTGCTAAGAAGATTTTACCATATTGCGTTGAAATCCTTTTTTTCGCATCATTGCTAAGGGGGTACAGAGTCTTTCATTTACAAAATCAAAGTTTTTACTAAAGTAGTGTTTAATTTAATTCCAGACACTTTCTCAATAGCTTTCTTTGGATACTTATTATAGGCTTAGTGGAAAATGGGAAGATATGTATGAATATTTGTATGATTACTTGGAATGCACAGGAATCAGATTTAAAGGCTTGTTTGGCACATATTTTTTTTAAATCATTTTTATCCAATATCATTTTCAACCACACATTTTATGGAATCCACAGTTGTTCCCTACTTTTTCAACCATGCATTCTCCAAACAAATCATTTTCACTTGAAAAAATTTGTGCCAAACAAGCTTTAAGTATATGATGGAGCCTGGATATGTTAGTAATTGGAAGCTGTATGAAGTCAAGAATATGGTTGATTGTTAATGTGCTGTTGTGCTGTTTGTCTTGCACTTTGAAAGCAATTACCGCAAACATGCACAGTGATTTTTGCATTGTCATTTACGGTACCAATATCAAATGTGGAAGTGCAAGTACTCTTTGTCACACATTTGTGGCGGAGTGCTTGAGAGGTGCTACTATAGTGGTGGAGTGTTTGAGAGGTGCTACTATAGTAGCAGGAGAAGGTCTGGTTGCATGACCCTTGATGGTCGAGAATTCGACAAATGATAGCATCATTTTAGCACCTAATTAAACTAATTAGTATCTGAATTAATACATGTTTAATCTTGTGATCCTTTCTAAAAAAATATTTAATCTTGCGATAGAGTTTTGTATTTGCCGAAAAGTCTGTATTAGAATCTTTTTATCCAGCAGAGAATGTAAGGCCCTATTTGAGCTCCATTATTTTCTCATTAAAATGAAAAATATGACCGTTATTCATTACATCATGTCACTATATTTGACTTTTTATCTCTTAAGTGGCCCATAACGACTATATTTTTCATTTTCATTTTTACAATATAGTTCAAACGGGGGCTAAATGTAAAACATATAAAATATCTATTTGCAGAAAGTTGCAATAGTGAAGATTAACATGAAATGGAAAAAGGAAGTGAACTTCAGAAAATTATAAGTTCCAGTTTTGAATTATCAAAAGAAAAAAAAAATGAATATCTTGTTTATTTAGTAAAATGTGAGGTGGGACTGGCTCTATAAGGACCTTTTTCATATTAGATTGAATCTGTACAAAGGGAGATGGGGCCGTACTCTGAAGTTTAATTTTTTATCTTGTGCATTGGACCAAATATTATGTTTTCTACCTCCATTTGTGGTGCTCAAATGATGTTTTCTTGTTTAATGTCATTGAGTCTTGGAATTTACTTTTTGGGTGCATTAGTTGGTGGCGAACCTTTATAAAATTCACTTGATCTTTAGCTTTGCATGGAACACCACTGTAGGGTGTTGATTGTCTATCCATCACGTGATCTTTATCTACAGCTTCTCATGACCATGGTGTGAAGGTGGCATGTCTATTTTACTCTCTTGTACGTTGCCACGAGGAACTTATAGCTGTGTTGTTTTCTTCTTTTATTTCTAAAACTTTAGTCTTCGCTTTCTTTCACTCTTAAATCTGAGGTTCGAATAAAGCAAATAAATAAATGCTATGGATTGTTTTGTTTATCCACTTTTGATTATGGTGATCAAATACTAAAGATGAATGTCATGACTCTACTGGTCCAATATTTTTTCTTCAGGGTGTGTTTTCATATGTCAGAAGGCCACTTGACTGTTGCCCAAGGCTTTCTTGAGGAATTTCTTAACAATTGGAAATATGTGGATCAGCGGTATTATCTTCTCTTGAGCGCAGAAGCTAATGCATCCGACATAGAAGGATCTTGTTATAGGTTTTCTATAGGAGTCAATGAGTATTTGGAAGTTGTTGAGCTTTATGTGATGTCACTGCTTGCAATGGCTATAAAAGACACAGATCTTGCTATTTCTTGGGTAGAAAAAGCCATGCTACCTGAGGAGAGGCGTCAGGTAAATTAATGACTGTCGTTTCTTAATTCAGCTTCATGATAGTTAGGAATATTCCAAGTTCTGATTATGCATTACTGGAATTTGAAATTTCCATCAGAGTTCTGTGTAAACTAATTGCTCTTTTGCATTACATTTTGGCACCTTTTATACAGTTAGCTTTAAAATGACAGTGTTCCCATCCTTACCGTGATAAAAAATATAAATATGCTGTTTGCCAATTGCCTCCAATTTAGGATGGAGGTTTGCCAAGTAGGAAACACTAGAATCAGGAATTTTGTTTTGGCAGTCAATTCATAGACATGAGATGAACTCAAGCATGATAATTTATATTGCTTATGTTGGTCATTGTTGAAGAGATTAAACTCTGTGAGGCTATGACAGATAAGCAAGATAGGTAACTTGACTGAAAATATTTACTATTCATAGTTGGTTCAGACTTCATCATCTCATTGCAATTCACAACTACAAAAATTATTGACATTTTGAAAATCGTGTTGAGGTTTTTTGACTTCTACTTGACAATTCACTGGTAATTGTTTCCGATGAGACCTATTCTTGGTCGAAGTATCTTCTACAAATGTTTTTCATGGTTCCTAAATTCATCTGTGAAGTATTAATTTGATCTTCTACTCCTTTCATGTTACCAAATTATTTGATTTCAAGAGATGTGGCACCTCTCTGTAATTACCTCCCTTTCTAATGGACACTCAATAAATCTTCCCTATTACCTACATATAATAGCACACACGGCCACACTAATGTTTGTATATGAATTGGAAAAGGAAATATCCCTTCTTTTTAATGAATGAATGAGTTCATTCATTTTGACGAATTTATAGCATATTTTCTCGTAATACTTTTCACTTCACCTTCAAGGAGTTCGTTCTCCGTAAGCTCTGTTTAAATTTTTTGAGTGTTTTCTTTCCGGTCTACTTCTTTTATGGTGGTTGTGATCTACTAAATGCTCATACAAATTTCATCATCTTTTACAAAAAGCATTTTAGCTCAGTAAACAATCAAACCGACTTCCTATAAAATTAAAATGAAGATGCTAATAATCTCCTCTACATGCATGCGGTAACTTTGGATGCTAAGGAGAAAGATGTAGTGCAGTGGAAGTGAGTGGTTCAAAAAGAGATATCACAGAGTACCAAGTTGAGGATTTTATTGGAAGTCAAAGGTCAACATTGCATCTGAAGATTGCTTCGCATCATACTCCTGAGCTTTCATGTTATGATCACTTCTTCATGGATGTAGAAAATGCCTTTGCTCTTAGCCCTGTACTAGTGCATAGCATATGATGTCCTTTCATGCATGTACACAATTTTCTTTCTTCTGTTATGAACATTTTCAATGTGATGAAAAAAGTCTGCGATGTGTTTTTATGTGTATTATGTATGTCAGGTGCATGATGTATAAATTATGACTTGAATGTATCATTTAAAGATTATGCATTCACTGACATTTGTAAATTTCTTTCATTTGTCTTTCAGGAATTTTTGAGGCGGTTACATTCAATGAGTTCTTCCAAGGTCAACACTTCATCACAAGCTTCTATGTCACCTCAGCAGACAGATGAACACAAAACAAACTCTGATCCCTTTGGAGAACAAAAACAGTATAATGGACATCTGAAAGATTTTGAATCTGGACATCTAGCTGGTGGAGGGAATACTACAAAACAGGAAATTCTGAAATTGTCTAGACACAGAGTTCCATACTTCTGGTGGTTCCCTTCCATCAATCTGAAATTTGGCAACTATCGATTAGTTGTACCTAGTGGAAAAGTCTTGCTATCTTGCTTATTGTTGCTTATCTATTATTTTATGAGGAGGAAGCAAGCTGCATTAAAGAGGTAAGATATAATTCTCTTTGTGGTTCTTGTGCAAGCAATTAATATTTAAATATGATCAGGGATGGCTCCTCTTGTTCTAAATTTCCATGTCTCATAGCTAGTCAGCTATAGTCTTCTGGAGGATATATCTGTGATCCGTCTTCTTGTAGGAGATGCATAATATGTGGAGTGTAGAACTAAGAATTATTATGATCTAAGCAATATTTCTGAAAAGTAAACCGAGTAATCTTTTTTAAATATACACAGTAAAGGGGAACGTCATTAATTGTATCCATTATTGCAGCCATGACATTGTTCCATTGTCTGGATCGAAAAATTATGATTTTGATGGAAGATATATTTCGTTTTCCCTGTCAAGTGCATTATCACAATCTCTATTTGTTTGTACTTGCCTTTGCTGAGCATAATTAATATGGAAGGCTATGTAGCATGGACATTTCATCTAGAATAGTTTGTCCGTGTCGGACACGTGTTGATAGCGACACTCATCAGACACTTTACCATAAATATTTTCTTTTTTTATTGAAGTATTATATATTTTTAATTCAAAATTATTAGTAAATAACAAATAGATACTCATAATTAAAAAATTTCAATAAGAAAAATTAGTAACAAGTGTAAAACTAAATTTGTACAATATAAATGAAGAGTTTTAAAGAATTTTGTATAATATAAATGAAGAATTTTAAAGAATTTAATCAATGTATCGTTGACGTGTCGCGTTGGTACTTTTTTGAAAAATTGAGTGTCAATCCATGTCGGTGCATCATAGATGGAATGACTAGTTCAATATTTTAGCGCACATGACAATATGATGGAATGACTAGTTCAGCAGGTTGTTAGTCCACATGCTACGAGACCGACTGTTCCGTATAAATATTTTCTGTTGAATCCTTTGAGTGCATGTTATATTGGAGTGAAAGTAAATAATAGGATTTTTGTGGGCAATGATATTTATAATGTTGAAGTAATCCCATTAATACACATAAGAAAACTTTTTAACATCTAACTGGGTTAGATTAATATATTATTCATTGAGTTTAATATCAACCATTTTGTTCTTAAGGCCCATTTTAAATAGCTTTCGAAAAGTCAAAATAAGCTCTTGTCCCAAAATTACTTTTGGCCCTGTTTAAATAATTTTATGAAAGTGTTTCTTCAAGTTAGAGGCACTTTTAGGGGCAGTTGGTCTAATGTAGCTAAAAGGTGAATGAGAAAGAATGGTACGGTGAAAAGTGAATGAGAAAGAATGGTGCGGTGAAAAGAGCTGGTGGACTACAAAACCCTTTTGGGATGCTTGATCAATGGTCTAGCATTTTTAGAACAACTACTATGTGCCAATCTCGTCTTATTAGTTCATAATGGTAATTTAACCCTGGAAAGTATATGAAACGTATGTGATGAGTTGAGCTTGATTTTGGCTTATGAATGCACTAATAAAATAGGAACTATTTTAGCATGTTGCTACCTTACGGTTCCGTAATGTATATTCTATTGTTCAAACAGTTGTGTTTGTTTTGAAAGTTTATATCAGTAAATACGGGTTGGTGAAGGATGAGTAGGATTTATTAATTGGCATCCCATAAAATAAACATCTGTAGCCACTCCAATTCTTTCTGAAATTTTGATTGTCTTATCAGGAAACTATCTAAAATTGTTGCCACCTAATATTTATGTTCTGCCTGCACAGGGTTTTTACAAACAAAGCTGTATCCATCAAAAAGGCTCTGGTCGACTTGTGGCAACTTGCATTCTCATACCAAGTGAACCCTCTAGCCGCTGTTCAACCCCTCCCTACTGCAACTCGTGGAAGCTACTGATGTTGCATTCTTCCACTTTTGTCTAACTAGTCGAGCTATTATGAGATTGATTTGCCTTACCCTTTTTGATTTACACCGTTGCTGCTGGCAGTTGTGCGCATACAAAAAAAAGATTATGTGGGGGTACTTCAGCACAAGGTCATCTTGCAAGAACCGTGTATTGTTGTATGTGGAGTTTTGAGATCCCTTGTTTTGTATGTGAGGTACTCGAATGCTTATTGCGCGTAAGCATTTCTGATTCATTATATATATACAATAACATCTCTTATTGAACTACAGATGTAATTGCGTATGAATGAAAGTTTAGAATCCTTTTGACATTATTTTTCTAGATTGGGGGATGCGGATTGAGTTTTTGCCGAGGGCTTGAATGTTTGTACTGCTTGCTCTTTCTTGAAGAGGAAAATGATCTATCTCCTTGTTTTCTGAGCAGACTAATAACTTCTAATTATATTTTGATATGATAATTGTCATTGAGTTAATAAAAATATAAAAATGTATAATTGTAAATTATTAATTTATAATATTAAATAGGAAAATTATTGTAACAGTCCTCATTCGATACACTTAATAAAAATAAGGGCATCTTCAATGCAATGCATTTTATGGGTTTCAATATATAGGTGGTTTTTAAATAAAAAAGATTTTCAATTTACGTAATATTAATGGTCAATTACTAGACGATTTTGTTCAAATTTAATATTCAATGGATTATATCTGTAATTCAAATTTTATCTCTAATTTCAATCATCCTTGGTGTACATTATGGGGTACCTGATTGTTTACTCTTTATCATAGGACATTATTCAATTGAACAATTTATAAAAAAAAAGATTTTTTATCTAATTATTTGTTGACAATAATGCAAACGTCAACAAAGATGTAAAAAATGAGTGTACAAATGACATAAATCCTCTTATTTATATTTAATATGGTGTTAAATGTTTCATTAGCCACTGAACTTTGCAACATGTCACGATTTAATCACTGAACTTTATCAATTGTCTCATTTGCCAGTGAACTTTGATCCATCCAACTCTATCGCTCACCCGATAAAAATCATTAACAGACGTGTTGACGTGGCTTACGGAGAAAAACGATGTGACATGTTAAATCCTTCCAAGTGGTAAGTATTCGCCAAATCAACTTCCACGCCAGCAAAGACTCATCCAAACAAGGCTTTACCAACTAGAGAAACACAGTGCTTGTTTGGTAGAGATTTTGTTAATTAATTTTTTGACCGTTAGAGATAAAGTGGATCCTATTTGTAAGAGAAAAATTTTAAAAATTACGACTGAAATAGTGAAATAATAATAAAAAAATTGATTTTAATTAAATTTTAAACTTTACCTGCTCCATGAATTGTAAAAACCAAACCCTTCAGCGTTAAAAATCAATTTCCCCTAAACAAACCCTTGAGTGTGAATCCATTTCCTCCAAACTCATATCTCCAAATTGAACCCTTAATCGTGAAATTTCATTTCTCCCAAATCGAAACCCTTAAGCGTGAAATCCATTTCCCCCAAATGCTTAGTGTGAGCTTCAACAAAATCGTTGACAAATTGCAAGACATGAAAGAGGCGGAGTCTGCCAAATTGAGATCGGCAAGGGCACGAGCAGGGCAACGGGCGAAATTTGCCAAATTGAAAGACGCACAGCCACGATAAATAATGTGACATCAGTTTGGTGCATTGGTTTTTGAGAATAAATGCTAGAAATTATCAGCAACAATTGGGGGAAGATTCACAGCAGTTAAGTGTTTTTGTTTTTTCGGTGACGTTGCTGGAAATTAGCAGGCAACATTTGGTGAAGATGCACAGCAGTTCGGTGTTTTTGTTTTTGGGAATGTTATACATACATACATACATATATATTCCAATGAGCTTAATTGCACTGTTATTTTCATGTTTCTGCAGGATTTTAATACCATTTTCTTTATTATCTGTTTCAGTCTTTGATAATCATTTTTCCTTTGAAACATAAATGATATTCTGTTGGGTGAAAAAAGATGGCCGATCTTTAAGTTGGGTTTTTTGGTCATGATTTTACTGATCAATGATGTGGTGTTTACAATTTATTTGTTTCAATGAGTTATATGACGTTGATTCAAATGAATTAGGGCTTGAGAAACAAATTGATTTGGGATCGTAAATTCATGGTTTAGACAAAATGGGTTTTCATTTTTGAAGTCACGTTAGTTTCTTTGGTAAAGCCATGTTTTAAATGATGCGGAGCTGATGTGCAAGCTGATTTACAGAACACGTACCACTTGGAAGGATTTAACTTGCCACATCATTTTTCTTTCAGCCATGTTAGCACGTCTATTAATGGTTTTTATTGGGTGAGTGATGGAGTTGGGCAGAGCGAAGTTCAGTGGCCAATGGGACAATTGATGAAGTTCAATGAGTAAACCGTGACACATTGCAAAGTTCAGCTGCCAATAAAACATTTAACTATTTAATAGGAGATGGAAAGAACGAGAAATATTAAATTATAAAAATGAGTATATATATGTGTAGAATATTTTATTATATGAATGTGTGGTTAAAAATGAGTATATATATAAAGGAATTTTTAAATTATGGTTGTCAAATAGGGGCTTAATTGCTGAAACTCCAAAGTTGGAAAACCTATTTGTACAGTCACATATTAGGACCCTAACGGTCAATTCATAATTTTCTAATGCCAATCGATTGATAATTTAAATTGAAATTCAGAACAACTCTGATTATCTCTGATTATTTTTCAAGTACATTTTTCTTTCTCTTATTTTCAATTACACATTTTTTCAATTAAGTAATATTACACAAAAATTCAAATTTCTTTTCTTAGTTTTTAATCATACATTCTATTACTATTCTAAAATGCATTTTTCGGCAAAATGAGAAAGAGGAAAAAAAAAGTTATTTTCTAAAATGTTAACCATACAGAGTTGTTCTAAATTTCAATTTTGCCCGTTCTCAGTCTCCTTCGGGACAATATCGAAAATTCACATTATGATAGAAGTACCCAGAAGTGGTGAGCCCGAGCCCAAACAATCTGATGGTAACCCAAGCTCTGCAGAAGAAGGATTACACTCCCCTACAACAACACTGATGCTTGCTGGCTCTCTCGATGGACTACAAAGTAAATTTATACATAGTCCACAACTCCAGATTCTCTATTCTTTTCTTTAGATTACTTTTTTTCCCCCTGTTTGGTTCTTTTGATTTGTAAGTTGTTAAATTTGAGATTTTTAATTTAGTGCCCTTCCTAGAATAGGGAATATTGGTTAAGCGAGTTGACTATTACTCAATTAGCAACCTTTTAATGTTCAATTTTTAGGTGTCGCTGTCGATTCAGCTAGACTTTTTGAGTTGTATGCATACGCACACGATGTGTATTTTTGAAGTGTTTTAGTGCTCATATATGGTGAATTTTCTTTTGGCAGGGAATGTTATCAGTTCATGTCCACAAGGCCATGGGGAAAAGTTAATGATTTTTACTCAAACATGGTGAAAATGCTGCATGCCACTGCCAGAATTGTTTGGAAAGGAGGTGGGTGTTTAGTAATATTTCTCGATTTTGGATGTCCACTCAATTTTGTGTTTTTCTATTTCTTTCCATATCCATTTGTTGATTTGATTAAGAAGTCTGATTCTCAACTTTCTGATTGCTCATTTCTATAAAATAAGAGCAGTGTTGTCGAGGTTAGGCGGTAATATGATGGTGTCTCGATTTCTTTGAAATAATTGAAGAATGCTTTTGAGTACATGTTCATTGTCCTAACAAGTACAAATGCTGCAGATATGCAATTTTAAGTGAATCATTGTATTTTCATCAAATATGATAAGTACTTGAAGGGGTTATTGATTTTCTTATTTTCCCTCTTTATTTTTGTATCCTCATATTTTACTATAACTATGTGTTTCAAGGAGATGGTCGCAGTTTCTACAGTAAACTATAGACATGGAATGACCCAATTCTATATTAAAATGAGATGGAAAGGCCCTATATGAGAGATTATTAGTTGCTAGAAATACGAGACTGCTGGATTTGCAGGTTAGTGCTGGATTTTATCTCAGAGGCTGAACATAAAACTGAGATTACCTTCTGAAAGACACAATTGTGCCGACCATGGTTGTGTAATCAAGAGTTAGAATCAGTGAATCGTTTAAAAAATAATAATTGGCCGTGTTATATGGGAGCAAACACTGAAAAGGCACGCAACACAGAAATTTTGCGGGAGCAATGTGCATCTATATATACACACACACACACACACATACGTGTACACACATGTACGTGTATACACGTGTATATATATATATGTACACATGTATGACACATACATATGTGTACACATATGTACGTGTATACACACATATATATACACGTACATATGTACGGTATATGTATATGTATAGGTACATACGTATATGTGTATGTCCACGTACGGTATATGTATATGTATATGTACATATGTGTATATGTACGGTGTATATACACACATGTACATGTACACCGTACATATGTATATGTATATGTACACGTACATATCATATGTATATATATATGCATATATGTACATACGTGTGTATGTATATTTATAGAAGTGGAAATAAGCAAATGTTGAAATGGATATAATTTTATTGATATTAGAAAATTTGAATTACAAGATTAAATAAAACTTTGAAAATTGTAAGATTGAAATAAAGACGGTAAAAGAATACAAAAATTTCTTAAACTATCTTGAGAATGATTTATTTCCCGCTAAATCAATTCTCATTTGAGAGCTACACTGAATTAACTCTCTTTTTAGAGCCAAATTAACTCTAACGAGAACTGCACTCAATTAATTCTGAGGAGATTTTGAACACTTGATCTTCTTTTATAATTAAAATCTTGAACTCCGGACTTGAAAATTTCTTCAATTTGGAGGATGAATCTTGAATTATTGTTTTTTTTGAAACTTTTACACCGTCCATTTGAAAAAGTCTTCAATGAACTTTAATTTGTCTCCTGCTATTGGAACATCTTTTTGAAAGTTGATCATTCTTGAAAGACATCATCTTTTTGACATTTGCTTTGATAGTATCTTCGTAGATTACAATTCAAGCAAATTATTGAGGTTGACAATTCAAAATTGCAATTAATGTTTCATGATGAATATTTTGCCATTTTTATTGATGAAGAAAAATGGACTCAAACTGAAATTCCTTTGATTCAAAAAAATATTTGATGATGAATTATCAATGTCTCAATACTGTTTTGATGATTTATACCATCAAAATGACGAACCATTCTAAGGTCCCAATTTCAATTTTGAAGATGAAGAATTATTCAACCTCAATAATTTGCTTCAATTGTAATCTACGATGATAATATCAAAGCAAAGATAAATTAAAGTTGATTGAAGACTTTTCAGGATGATTGAAGACTTTTTCAAATGGACGGTACAAAAGTTTCAAATCTATTAAAATAAAAGTTATCAAATATTTTGAAAATAATATTTTTGAATGATTGAGAACAAGTAGGATCTCTATTGATTATATTTTGATAAATATCTTCAGGAATTTGTAAGATTTTTTTCATAAGATATCTTCTATTTCTTTTTAATGGGAATATATTTCTAAAAGATAATTCTTTTGAAGAATAAGTCTTTCGTTTTTTTGAAATTTTTTGATTATTTTATTACTACTGTTAAAAATTTCAGTAGTATTTTTGAGATATCTTATAATATCCTTATTACTTCTTTGATAATAAGTAGTAAGAATATTATCAAGATTATCTTTTTGAAATTTGAAGAGTTTTTTATGAGTTTTAAACTCATAGAACTTTGGTTCAGTTCCTAAAAAGGAATCTGATTGAGAATAAAATTTACCTTTATTCAAAGAATCATAATTCTTACCTTTATTGAAAAAATTTTGTCTTGAAAGGATTTTGAGGAAGATCCTGAAAAAGATTTGAATAATTTTTTGTATTCATAACTCTTACCACAATATTTGTTTTAGAAGAATTTTTAGGAGATAAGTTTTGTAAAATAGTTTAAGTTTCTTTGAATAAATAGTACTTTGAGATTAAGTCTAGACACAATATTGTCATTGGGTAAAATTTTATTTTGAAATACGTGAAGCTTTGAAAAAGTTGAAGAATTCTTTGTGGGTTATTCCATCCACTATGGTACCTAATCAACTGTTCTTAACTTGACTCTTTTAGAATCTGTTTTAACACTCTACCAAAGCCTAAATTAGAGGCATCGTTTCGATAATAATTGAAGCAGTAGGGTCAAGAATTAATAAGCATGGAATATTTTTGATAGCCTTTTTAACATTTTGAGCAGCTATTGTGTACTCGTGACTCTAGGGGTCCGGGTTCTTTTGTAGTCTTTTGAAAAGAGGAGCATAGATCAATCTTATCTCTTTGATAAAGTCGCCGACATAATTGACACAACCAGGAAATATTTGAAGAGAAGATTTGTTTAAGATTTTGTCAGGAATTTTTTTAGTAAAATCTAGACTTCTCTCTAAATTGGAATAATTGAACCATTTTAAATATTATGACCTAAAATCTTATTTTTGTTTGACATAAAACAATCTTTTTAGCAAAGACCGCTAAACCATTTTTTTTCATTACATACATGAATATTTTGATATGTTTGAAATTTTGTTCTATATTTTCTGAAAATATAAGAACATCATCAATGTAAACAATAATGAAATTTGAAAAAGGATTGAAAATAGGCAAAATTGCAGCCAAGGTACCAAACCTTTCTTTTATTAGCAGATTTTGCCCAAACCTTTAGTTTGTAACAACATGAGTACCAAACCTTTAAAAAATTCGCAGCTCTAGTCCAAATTGACGATTTTTATTTGTTTGACCCCAAAAACCATCAATTGACCCTAGAAAATTGAAAATTTAATAATTTGACCACACAAAAAAGGGTAAAGTAGTAACTTTACAAATTTAATATAAATTAATTGATTAATTAAACTAAAAAAAAAAAAGAAAAAAAAACTTCTCTGTATCTATTTTTTCTCCATCCTCACCTTCCCAAAAGGGGGGGAAATTGATAAATCCACAGGCCACCCGCCACCTACCGTTGATCATGCCACCACTGTCTGGCCATACCGCCAGTCACTTCACCTCCACCTCTCTCAAACTCCCTCTTTTCTCCACGCATCCCCACTAACTTCTTACCCCCTTCAATCAAAAGCTGTTATCTTACGAAAATTTCCTTTCAGTACAAATGGGAGCTATTATCAAATGGGAGGATACCACCACAACGAGTTCAGAGCTGGAACTGGATATTTGAATCTCCCTGCCACTCGATTTCCTTGAGTGGAGGTTGAATTTTGAATCCACACTGGAAAATTAAGTCATTCTTAGAGCCTCCATTGTAAATTAGATTGCAAAAATATGGTATTTTCTTGTGCTTGAATTGTTAATGATGATAATAATTGTTGTTGGGCTTGGGATGAGTTCCACCGTGAAACATGCTGTTGATTGCATCTCCGAGCTCACTTGGTGGATTGAATTTAGTTAAATGGCGTAGAGGGTCGTTGTTGAGGGAGAAAATGGTAGATTGATTTGGTGGCTATGGCAAGCGGCGGTGGGTGGCTATGGCAAGCGACGGTGGGTGGTAGTAGCGGATTGTTTTGGTAGGATTGGAAAAGGGGGCTTGGGGATTTGTGAAGAAGATAACCAGCTTTCCTTTTTTTTTATTCTTTTATATTAAAAAAGGTAAGTTACGACTTTACCCTTGTTTTGTATGGTCAAATTATTAAAATTTCAATTTCTAGGGTCAACTAACGGTTTTTGGGGTCAAACTAATAGAAACCGTCAATTTGGACTTGAACTGCGAATTTTTTAAAGGTTTGGTACTTACGGTGGCACAAACTAAAGGTTTGGGCAAAGTCTGCTAATAAACGATAGGTTTGGTATCTTGGCTGCAATTTTCCCTTGAAAATATCATTCACGATTTTTTTAAATTCAGAAGGAGCATTTTTTTAGACCAAATTGCATAACATTCCATTTGTATTGACCAAAAGGAACATTGAAAGTAGTTTTGTATTTATCTTCTTCTTTGATTCGAATCTGTCAGAAGCCTGATTTCATATCAAATTTTGAGAAGATAACAGCCTTGAATAATCTATTTAAAGGATCTTCCTTTAGAAGAAGTGGATATCGAATTCATTGAAGAGCAGTATTGAGAGGCTTATAATTAATAACAAGGCGTGGAGCACCTCGTTCAATTTCAGCTAAATTATTGACATAGAAAATTGACGAATTAACTCTAGGGAGATTTGCTCGAACGAATTAAACATTTGTCAAGTAAATTATTAATTTTCTTGATACAAAAGTCTAACAATTCTTTGTTCATTTGAATAGGACGAGATTTTGTAGGAATATTTGATTCATGAAAATTAGAAATTTAGAATTATATGGAAGAGATGCCACACGTTTCTTACAATCCCAAAAAGCATTTGGAATAGTACAATAAATCTCTTTTTCTATTTGTTTTTGAAGATTTGAAATTTTTTCTTGAATTGAGGATTTTGTAATTGTTCAATTCTTTGAAATTTAATTTTTCTTTGAGAAATCTAATATGATTTTTCTTGAAATTGATATAATTAACTATTTTTTAAATTGATGCTCGTTTTAAAGAATTTACATCTTTATAAGAAGGAAGATTTGTAAATTTGAAACAAATTCCTTGATAAAAAAAATTTGTAGTTAAACCTTTTGAATTAGCTTGAAAATGATAAATTTGAACAATAAAAGGGGTACTAAGAATTACTTCTTGATCCAAATCTTTTGCAAGTTAAAAAATATTTTTGAAACAAATGTTTGAATTACAAATATGAGCTTTTGAAAGTTTATATTGAATATTGAGTTTATTACCACTAGCACCATAAAGACGCTTAGTAGTTTTTTCAAAATATTTTGTAGGTATCAATCTTTCATGGATACAATTTTGATCAGCTCTAGAATCTATAAGGACTCTAGATGTAAATTTGAATTATCTTTTTACTACAATAGTCATATTGCAGTACCATTTTTTAAGTTGAATACGATTAATAACAATGGTTTCTTCTTCAGATTGAATAATTGAAGGAATGAGAGGATTTCATTTTTCATCAGAAGAATTAGAAGAGGATAAATAAGGAGTTTTTGACTTTTGTTTTTTATCTTGAGTTTTGAGAAGAGAAACTTTCATTCTAACATCTTTCATTTTGACGTTCAAGAATAGAAATTTGTGATTTCATAAAATTGACTTTCGATTTTAAATCAGAACTAGATGATTTAAGTTTCAAAACGATTTAAAATATTTTGCATTTTGAAAGGTTCAGCTTTTGATTTTGAAGGAAGAAGGGAATTAAATTTATTTTTGAGTTGTGGATCTTCAATTTGATCAACAATCTCTTTGATAAGTTTTTCTTGTTTAGTAAGAACATTTATAGTTTTGCAACCACAAAGTTTTTTTTTACTTTGACTAAAGGTTCAGCTTTTGATTTTGAAGGAAGAAGGGAATTAAATTTATTTTTGAGTTGTGGATCTTCAATTTGATCAACAATCTCTTTGATAAGTTTTTCTTGTTTAGTAAGAACATTTATAGTTTTGCAACCACAAAGTTTTTTTTACTTTGACTTGAAGAGGATTGAGAATTTGAACTCGATTTAGCATCAGAATCTTCTTGATGTTGATCAACATGTTCTAACTTTGAGTTAGACTCATTATCAAAACTAGAATTTGAATAAGTAAGATTGAGAAGTTGAAACGTAATATCTTCATCTATTTGAAGATTATTAATCTTTCTTTTGAGAGGACACTTATCAGAATAATGCCTCGATTTTTGACATTTTCAACAAGTAACATTACTTTTTCTTGAAAATCTTTTTTTTTTTTTTTTTTTAGAATAATTTTTTGAATAAGAGGGTTTTTGAAAATTCTTTTCCTTTGAATAAGATTTTATTTTTGAAAAAAAATTTCTTTTTGTTTTTTATGGAGGAATTTTTGAAAATTGAACTTTTTTACCTTGAAGTTTATTTATTTGAGAAATTTCATCATTAATAAATTGAGATTCAATATCGCCAATAGTATTGATGTTATTTGAAGTAGAGGAAGATGATATTTTTGATAACTGAGTCACAAGTTCTTTTAGAACAATAATCTCAATTTTGAGACTATTTTTTGGTTTAGCCTCATGCTTGTTTATTAAAACTGGCTCTATTGACTTAATACCTTTTGAGGAAGATGTCTCAATTTTATAATTTATTTCAATTCTGTTGAGTTGAGAACAGACAGATTGAAGAACTACACTAGTGTAGTTATTTTGAGATTGGTATTTTTTATATCTTTAACAACAACTTGAGATTCATTAAGCCGTTCTTCAGATATCTTTTTGAAAGGAGAATCAAGAATTTCAGTACTTTCATGTGGAACTACAATCTTTTGCAAAGAAGGATGAGAAGATTGAATATTTTCTCTAATAGGAGTTTTCCAAATCTTTTTTGGAATATTTGTGGTTTGAATAGTTTTTTCTTTCTTTGAAAAAGTAGGTTTTTTGTTAAAAACTTTGAAATATACCAACTTATAAAAACTTAAATTTTCAAGGAATTCATAAAAGTCTTCCCAATAAGATTCTCTTTTGAAAAATTCTGACGAAATATTTTTCGAAAACTTATAGAATCAGGAGTTTGATCAGTTTTGAATTCATTTCCTCTATCAATTGTAGAAGAAATAACATTAGTTTGATGATCAAGTCTTTTATTTTGAGAAGAAAGCATATGAGATAAAGTTGGAGAATCAAGTTCTGATTCTTCTTCTTTCTCTGTATATTGAGGTTTTGGAATATTTGGAGTGAAATCAATACCTGTAAGAGAGATGTTGAAAATATAGCAAACTCAAAAGAAGTTCTAGATCTATCTTCAAATCTAGAAGAGTAAGATCTTTGAAACCTAGAAGAAGATCATTTAAAAATCATTTTGACGTTTCCATCAGGAAAAGTAAGAAGATCCTTTAAAATTCATCCTTGAGGTTGTAAGAATCAGTTTATCTTATTTAACTATTTTTATCGTGGTAGATTGTTATAATTTCATTGAATTTAATTATGTCTTCTATTTCAAATTGGTTTCAGAATTCTAGAAATAGATTTGAATATATTTCAAATGTTTTTCAAAATGAAGAAGAAATTGATCAGACACGTGCATCATTCGCATCATCAAATGATTTCAATAATCATGAACTTCAAATTGCTCAAATAGAATAAAGATTACATAACTGACAATTCCAAAGGTAGAAAAGAATTCTATCTATGAAATAGGAAATTTTGATTTTACTTAAAATTATGTTATCAAAATTTTTGAACAAACATTATCTATCAAAAATCAAAATGCTCACATCAATTTATTTTCAAAAGAATCAATTGAATCCTACAGGAGAAAAATTAAATATCTTTATGTTGGATTAGTTCAAATTGCTATCAAACCTTTGTTTAGACATGGGTTAGACATTTCTATTCTCTTAACTCTTCGAGATAAGAGACTTCTTAAATTCAAAAATTCATTATTATCTGTTCTAAAGTCAAATCTAGAAAGCGGTCCAATATATTCAAATTGTTATCCCAATTTTTCAATCAATCTCAATGATGGAGCTATTCTTAATACTCTAAATCTTCATATTCAAACAAAAAATCTCAATTTCGATGATCGTTCAAATGCTTTTGCTATAATATACAGAATATATTACAAGCTCATAAATACTCAATTCAATATTGGTGCCTTACGTTAATCCCCTAAAGATGAAAGTCTTTTGGTTGAATGTAATCTTTTTTATTCAAACACCATGATTCCTAAGAGAATTTCTTGGAATCTTCAAACTCGTGGACTAGAATGAAATTTTGAAAATGTTCAAAATGCTATTCTTGCTCTTGTTCAAACTCCTTATTTATCCTCTTCTAATTCTTTTGATGAAGAATTAAATCCTCTTTCCTTCAATTATTCAATCTGAAGAAGAAATTATTAAGGTTATTAATCGTATTCAACTTAAAAATGGTATTGCAATATGACTATTGTAGTCAACAAAGAATTCAAATTTACATCTAAAGTCCTTATTGATTCTAGAGCTAATCAAAATTGTATCTATGAAGGATTGATATCTATAAAATATTTTGAAAAAACTATTGAGCGTTTTTATGGTGTTAGTGGTAAGAAACTCAATATTCAAATATATATATATATATATGGGTGTGCACATGGCAGACATGGGTGTGGATCGTAGTCTATGATGTACGGACCCGGACACGTGTGTCCGACATGATACGTGTCGGATACGTCGATTCTTGATTTTTCAAAAAAAGTACCGACATGACACGTCGTCAACACATTCATTAAATTCTTTAAAATTCTTCATTTGTATAGTTTAAAATTAGTTTTATACTTATTATTGATTTTTTTTTTGTTGAAATCTTTTAAATATGAGGAATTATTTGTTATTTGCTAATAACTTTGAGTTAAAAATATATAATAGCTATAGTAAGAAATAAAAATGATTATTGTAGAGTGTCTGAAGAGTATCGGTATCGACACGTGTCCAACACGGACACGCTACCCTAGTTGGAGTGTCCATGCTACATAGATTGTAGTGTTGTACTTGATGAAAACTCAGCTGCTAAAAGAAAAGAATTTACCAGTAGAAGGCTGTGCTGTAGTCGCTGGGCATAAAGACAAAGGGGTGTCTGCTTCTAAACAAGTTTGCTCTTTCTGTATGTTGCCTAGTCTATCCCACTTCCACTGGATCATATTTCACCTTTGCCTAGTATATTTATTAATATGTATACATGCAACTGTGCTTTCAAGAGTCCATTGGTGCAATTGAATGTGATGGTTTTTACGGAACAGAACAATAAGAATTATAATTTTTCCCAGATCCTTTAGATGTTTTAACTTATTCATGCGGTGCAGGACTGCTTAATTTTTGTTCTGAAACTGTGTTACCAAAGACTTTGAGTTGAAACAAACAAGAGAAACATATTTAGGGTTGGTATACAGTGCTACTTGAGGGATTTGCTTTGAATAAAGGGCTGCAAAACTCTTTGCATGAAGAAATTCAGCAAATCTCTAAATTTCTACTACACCTTGTTTTAGCCCATCCCATTCCAAAAAGGTCACATAGGAAAATTTTATCCCCCTATATCATTAATGATTCTGAGTTTTATTGTTTTTCCTCTTTATTTCTTCTACATGAGTAGTTGGTGAGCTTTCCAGCCCCTTTACCTTATGTTCTGGACTTAGCCTTGGTCACTCTTCTCTTCCAGTCTGCTAGCATTATCTATAACCAGTTTCCTTATCTCAATGCTGTTAGAACCAAATGTGTTACACTGCTACCTGTGTGTCTGTTCAGCCATTCCCATTTCATTCCATTTCCTAACACGTGGATGCCCTACATAGCCACATGAAAGACTCGTATTTCCTTTATGAGGTTTTGATCAAGAATCTTAAAGCATGTGTGGAAAATGTTTATAAATGGTTTAAATTCTAATTTCTAATTAGGTTTAAATTATAAATAGATAAAAAAGAATGGTGGATAGGTTGGTAGTACTTGTGAGTCCTTGAAATGTGTGGTTAAAAAGTGACTTGAGTGTTTATAAACATGAGACAAACATAGGCTTTGTCAGTCTTTGAGAGCACCAATGTAAACGGATGAGTTCGGCACCTTGTTCCCACTCTAAATCTTATCAGAAATACCAGTGGCACATCTAACTATTCTCGACCATAACCTGCCAACTGAAACTTCTGAATGTAATCTGCCAGACTGCAGCCCTGCTAAATAACTTGTACTATTCTGAAAAAAATTGCTTCAATAAATCAAGGATTGGTAATAGTTAGCAACTAAATTCAGGTAAAGATACATAGCTAGTTCTAACTAACTATAAAAGGGACTAAGTGATAACATACAGACCTTAAAACCCTGATAAATGCAGTTATTAACAGAGACCTTCAGATAAATATGTGAGATGTATTCTGCTAAATAGTTCATACTATCCATTATTTTTCAAATTGGGGACAGTGAATAATAGGAAAGTCATTGATGTTTTTATATACACAGATACATGGAGAAAGGATAGAAGAGCTCAAGATATTGAAGAAGCCATTAATTGTGCAGCACCTGGGAAGATAAGGATAGTTTCTGTTACTAAGGTAGCACCATCTTTAGTTATTTCTCAGCTCATAGTTAAAATTTATGAATTCTAGTCATTTACTCAAAGCAATATAAAAACATGACTTCCAAATTTCTGCTGTTGTTTTTACAACATTCTAAAGGGAACCTAATATGTTCTAGGTATCTTGTGAATTTCATCTTAATTTCTCTGCTAAGTGGAGACGCTTGCCTTTCAATGATAAAACTGGGTGGGACCACACCAAACTGTGTAAGAAGAATATTGTGGATAATGCTGTTTGTTGACATGGTCACAGTGATCAGTTTATTAATGAGGCTAGTGATATGCAGTTGATGTTGATGACAAGGATGAAGAAGAAACAGGAAATAAACCATCTAGGTTTCTTTTAAGCAGTTTTAACCATCTTCTACACCAATTGGGAGGAAAATTACTATCCTACAGGATGTTTGCATGAGATATTAAAGCCTCATGAAACGTGAAAGACTGAGATCTCTGGATTGTTGTATAGTTGGAAAACACCAATAACTTTATTTGTCATTGCAATTCTGAAACTGCATCTGAGGTCATAGACCAGAAGGAAATAGGTGAATCCATATCTATTGTGATCAGGTGTTAATCATATTTCGTATATATTCTTTTGTTCTTATGTTGGTGATCCTTGCCAGTATGTCAATTGAAGCTTGAGATTGGAATTTTTTTTACAAGGGTAAATCATTGCATGCCCATCAGGACATGCACAATTGGGTATGTCAATTATAGTAGGGTATACCCCAGTCATTGACTATCTTCTCCCTGGTTGCGTGTTCTAAAATGACTGGCTTGAACTACGCTCTCATACTTCCTTTTACTAGTTGTAGTGTTATGTATGTCTGGTACCATATTGGCAGGGACCCTCGTGGGAAAAAATGAATGGAAAAGACGTTGATTTGGCTATGCTGAGTCATTGCAAAATAATTTTTATAGAACTGGTCGGAGTTGCTTTAATTATTTCACTGGTCTCTCTCTACCAGCTGTTGTGCCTATGGTTTAAGGCCTAAGGGTATAGAAGTTCGATGTAAGCCTGGTTTTTGACAAAGATCTCTGAGTATGATTCTATTCTACATTTGTAGGGACTTAGATTCTTTTTAACTCGTGTAAACATGTCTTACATTTTAGCTCAAGCTTAGCCGCTTGCATTTTCTTTGATGTGACCTAGTATCAGTTGGCTAAGTCGTCTAAGTATCAACAGTGGCCACCACAACATGTGGTTATCGATGGATAGAAAGCTAAAACAAAGTGAAATTAGCTTTGACATAGTTGGACTTTAGTGGATTTGGCTATTCACTTTCTAACCACACTTTTTAATTATTGCAGTGGTCTACCAACGGAGTGCTTTGTCTTCCATGCACGAGCAGCAGAGTCTTATTACCTTGTGCAGAGGTTGCCTATCGATACTCATCTTGCTTCTTTTTAAAATCTCATTGCCTTAAGCATGAGTTGCTTCTTATTCGTTATTCTTTTACGATTCTATGTTTAGGATTTAGTAAAAGTTAGCGTTAAGCTTAATAAATAAAATAGAATCGTAAAAGAATTGTAATGCTACCTTTTACTAAATCCTATATGTAGAATTGTAAAAGAACAACTAATTAAAGGAAAATGGAGTTGGCAGGGAACAACAGAGGTGGTATTGTACTGAAAATATGGTGGGGTATATTACTGATTTGATGGAGGTGGTGCAGGTCAACAGATCCTTATTATGTAATTTTCTTTAACAGGTTGTGATGGATGCATGAGTCAAGACAATAATTATTCGTTAGAGATAGTTTGAGATGAGGAATTTTGGAAAACTTCAGGGATTTCATTCAGCCCAAAATAGAAAGCAGTAAATATTTTGAGATGAGACAATAATTAATAGTTGTTTTGAATTTAAGATAAAAAGTTTCGCAGCACAAGAAATTACTTTTGAGGACAACTTACAAGTCTGGGATTATGGGATTTGTTAAGAGTGCGCAGTGTGCCAAGTTGGTCATGCAATCAAGTGAAATGGCTAATTCAAAGGACATTTTAGTCTAGCTAATGTTCAAATAACGTTTACATAGCAGTAAAATTTTCTTAGAATTTCGGAATCTCTTTCACTTCTTTTTCTTTCTCATTAACGTTTTTGCATTTGTAGAAGGATGGGACCTGTGTGAAAATGATGTGCATTGAGTTGGTTGCTAACCGTTTCCTGCGCAAGGTAGTTCCTTCAATTAATAGCCTTACAAGTAAAACTCTGTCATGAAATACTTACTAGTTATATTTGACTTCTATACTGCTTTAACTTGAAACCACGATGTAATTTTGAACTTCAGAGAAATAAGTCACATATTTCTTAAAATTCTTTTGCAGTTTCTACAAGGAATTTGAGAGTATTTCTTAGCTCATGAACATCAAAACTTCCCTAGTTTCTTAATATGCGCTTCAAGAATATCATAGAGCAGAAAAGCCAGCCCAGGAAAGGGATTGCGATTAAGGCTCAGAACCACAAAATGCAAGCTCTACATTAGGGTTGGCAAACAGGGCGGGTTCATGGAGGGGCAATTTCTTGCCACGTTACCCATTTAAGGCTAGGCTTTTGCCTCGTTTATTTATTTATTTTTAGGGAGATACTATATGTATCTAATCATTTACCAAATGGATGATCGAATTGACAGGTGTCGCGCCCTTCTTGGAGTGGAGGGGCGCCACTTGTCAATTCGATCAAAAATTAGGTAAGACATTTGGTACAAGTAGATTAATTCTTATTTTTAATAGTTTTTGATAACTTATTTTATTGTTCTCATTCATTGAAGTGAGGCAATAATATAATTTTTAAAATTTTTAATTAATTAATTAATTTATTTTTAAAAGTTATATTATTCGAATATATTTGGTAAACTAAGATTTTTTTTATTGTTTATCATATTTCTTTGATAATCATAATTGTCATCTTCTATTAGAATTAATGAAATTTTGTTGAGTTTTTTTATTTAAAGTATTGGATTCTAAAAAAAATAATAATAATAATAAATAATAATAATTAAACAGGGAGGGGCCTTTAATCGACCCAATTACCCGATTAAGCAAGTAATCCCCGCTCCGAGCCATGGGTATTGGGTTCACCTGGTTTTTTTGCCATCCCTACTTTACATCAATTATGTTTCATATTCTGTATATTGCAGTATAAGATTGAAATTCCAACGTGTCTATTTTCTTTAGACTTTGTGATCTCGTGGACGATTACAGATGGTTCGAGTTCTGTAGCGACCGCAGTTAGGGAAGTGGCAGCTGCTGGCGCCGAAGTGGATGCACTGCTAAAGTCGATGAATGGCACAGATAGACATGCTACTGCTCCGCCTGCACGTCCGGATGGCCTTTGTCTTCTTGATGTAGGATATACAGAATTTGATAAAGAGTTGCCGTATTCCTTGAGAAACTGAATCTCCGTGTACATGATGGATTGGCCAGGATTAATTCATATTTCTACATTTTTGTATTAACATTATTTTCATTTAATCTTATGATGTTTGATGCGAATAATACTTAAATTAGACCGATAAAATTATGCAATACGTATTAAAATAATATAAATTTGAGATGGTTTTAGATTGAATTATTAAAAAAAAAAAAGGTTAAACCCTAACCTTAAGGGTCCCCCACCACCCCTGCCCTGGAGTATCATGAGAGAGGTAAATCGCAGGTTATGCCTCCAAGGGTATAGGGTGGAAGGCTGTTTGTACACTTGTACTTACCCAAGAGTCAAATCCATATTTCAGGATTTGAACCCTTGATGCAGCAGCCTCAAGCAAAGTTGGATTTCTCCACCCTCCCTTTTTACTACTTGGAGATGTGCCTTGGGGGCGTTTTAGATTGAATTATTCATTCACTATGTGATGGATAATTGAGAAAAAGTTAATTAAATTGCTTATAAGTAAATGAGTAGGTTTCAAGATAAATAACTTTTTATATTGTAGTTAAAAATAATGAAGTTACTTGCTTTGATATGAAAGCAAGAGTTACTTTTGAAAATAGTAACTCTTTATTTACTTAAATGGTAGAGAAAAATAAATTATTCAAACATGTTTATAGACAAAAAGTAAATTTTCTCATAAGTTTTGGAGTAATTAACTATTTTGTTAATCAAAATACTTATTTTTACATAAACATAAGAATTAATTTTCAAAAAAAAAACAAATTAAAAAATAGAAAAGTAATTTTTCTAAAAGTAAGAGAATGAATTTGGATTAAAAAAAAAAATTATAAAAGTAACTTCACGTTTCTTAAACTTAAATAAAAATATTGTTTTTCTTTTCAATATTTATAGTTTCCTACTAGTCGTGTTATACAAATATACATTGACAGAATGCTCTAATTTTATTATTGTCAATTATGTCTAATCTTACGAGTCATGCTACACTTACAAAGTTAGGTTACAAAGTTGGGTTACAAAATAACATTTACACCAATCATTTCAAAAACAAAATTTTAAATCATTTCAAATCAGTGGCCTACGGCTTGCCAACACACTTGGTATCTTCACTTTTGTAAAGCTACTTTGTAAGAGTAGCTTTATTCCTAATCTTACACCCTCTAATCCACTAGTACCAAATCCACCCGTTAGTCCTAAGAATTTACGATTCCTAGTACAATTTTCTTACATTTAATCCTAAGAGTACATACACACACATTCCTACAATACAAGGGTAGCCAAAAATTCCCAAAAAAGGGATATATTTACATTATGGTCCAAATATTTCAAAGCTAATTGGATGGCTTAGCGCAGAGTTCTCAAGGATGCATGTTTCCACATCCCATGTACCAAAAGAGAGGACATTGTCAATTTGACCTTACCTTTTACCATTTCTCAATTCGTCACAATATCCCTACACAACACTATTCTTGGTTTCCTCTTAATCTTTTTTCCTCCAATCCAACAAAATTTTAATTTCATTCCCTTTGTAATTCTTTGCCCCGATTAAGCTATTTTCTTTCATAGGAGCCTCTCAAGGGGGAGCGCACTTGCAAGTGCGCGCACCACCACCACCCCGATATAGCTCGCGCTTTATATTATTATGATGGCTCAACACCAACACGCCACCATTTTGTGGGGGCATTCCCGTTTGATGGTTCTACTTTCCATCATCATCTTGCATTTTGTTATGTGTTCTTGTAAATCGGATGCTGAGATCTTGCTCAAATTCAAGGAGTCCCTTACGGATAATGGTGCATTGTCTAATTGGAATGACACAAAACCGCCATGCAGTGGTTATAATGAAAATTGGGTTGGAATTATATGTGGAAATGGGACTGTATCGGGAGTGAAGCTGGAGAATATGGGGTTGGCGGGTGTGATTGATGTAGATGCCCTCAAGGAATTGAAAATTTTGAGGACTATAAGCTTGATGAACAACAAATTTGATGGCTCTTTGCCAAATATAACTGAACTTGGTGCCCTGAAATCCATTTATTTGTCCGACAATCAGTTTTCCGGCGCAATCCCAATCGGCATTTTTGACGGGATGTTATCTCTCAAGAAGGTTCATTTGGCACGAAATAAGTTTTCTGGTGAGATTCCTCAATCATTGATCACATTGCCTAGGTTGAGGGAGTTGATGCTTCAGGACAATGAGTTCGAAGGAGAAATACCTCAATTTCGGAATGGAATGTTGAAATCGTTCAATGTATCTGACAATGAATTAACTGGTGAAATCCCTCGTGGCCTTAGTCATATGAATGCTACCTCATTTTCAGGTACTAATGATTTTATGTTTTTCTTAGTTAATCAGATCAATTAGCGTAAAGCGTTATATCTTAGGAGACAGATGTCACATAAAGTACATTTCAAGAGGCAATTTTTGTCATAAATTTTGTCAAGTGCATAACTCCCTTCTTCTCCGTCCCTCCTAAACAGGCAACGAAGGCCTATGCGGTGCACCACTCGAATCATGTTCTCCGGCTAAGCTTTCCGTGGGAACAATCATAATTGTCATGATACTCGTGGCTTTGGCCATAGCAGCACTCACCTCAGTCGTCGTCATTCTCTATCGGCGGAAGCAAATGTTGGAGCAAGAACAGGCAACGGTATCCCCTCCTGGCCACAGGAAAGCTTACTCGACCGACCTAGACATAATGGAACAAGGTGGAGCATCACCTGAGCACAGAACAAATGGCAAGAAGAGAGATAAAAATACAAAGCTCACATTTCTTCAGGATGACAGGGAGAAATTCGACATGGGGTATCTGCTAAAAGCCTCAGCGGAGATACTCGGCAGTGGCATATTCGGGTCGACATACAAGGCCTCGCTGAGTGGCGGACAGGCAGTGGCCGTGAAAAGATTCAGGCATATGAATAATGTGGGGAAAGAAGAATTTCATGAACATATGAGAAGATTAGGGCGGATGAGTCACCAAAATGTGCTTCCTATTGTGGCTTTCTACTACAGGAAAGAGGAGAAGCTATTGGTTTCTGAATATATGGAGAATATCAGCCTTGCTGTTCATCTCCACGGTAATTTTATAGAATCGAAACTCTTCGAAAACTCCGACAGGAAGCATTTCTATGTGTTGTGTCACGTTGCAGTTTACTCAATACTATTTTAGTCTTGTGAAGTTGTGTTTCTCAAACCGCAACTTCATAAGTGAGAAAAACATTTTATTGCCTTTTTCACTTAGCCTAGACAGATGGCATTCACACATTGGCTGATACTTGGTCACTCTATTTGTGCTACGTTACACACGTTGTGGACTGTTGATTGTATCTGATGGTTGAGATTTAACCACTCAACCATTATTGTGTATAGTGGCCTTTCGAGTTCATTTTGGGGTTTCTAGAGTTTTCAGTCATTGGGTTTGGTTCTTGAATTTTTCTCCCTCTACTGCGTCTGTTCATCTTTTGTATTCTGTTTGATCTGATTTTGATCATAAGTCTATAATGATATTTGGTTATATGATGATGGTAGAACTCTTGATATAGTGTTTTAGGCCTAAATATTAGCAGGTAAATTTATACTGAGTTTGTTGCAAGGATTCGTGTACTCAAGGTTTGGCTAGGGTTTTGCTTGTGAGATCTTTGTGGATCGATGACCAAATAGGCGTCTGATTTAGTATTCATTTCGGTTGTACACTCTCTCTTGAAAGTTTCTTGCATAGTAACGGGCTTACCTCTGGACCCCCAGATTAGGCCTTTTTTGCTGAACTGTGTAAACAATCTCCTATGCTCTTTTATTTTCTTGCATCGTGTTTGATTATTTTACTAATGTTTGTGGGTTTGGGGTAAAAATACCCAACAAGTCTTGTTCATTTTACAGAATCAAGTACTCAAGACTAATGATAAGTTGTTAATAAATCTATTCTGGCAGGTAACACATCTCGTGGGCTTCCATGCCCGGATTGGCCAACCCGTTTAAATATTATCAAAGGAGTAGCCAAAGGTCTTTTGTACCTCAACAATGAGCTCCCAAGCCTAATGGCACCACACGGTCACCTCAAATCCTCAAACATTCTTCTCGACCGATCCTTCAACCCCTTGCTCACTGACTACGGATTAGTTCCAGTCATGAATCAAGACCGTGCACAGGAGCACATGATCGCATACAAGTCGCCCGAGTACAAGAACAATGGCCGGATTACCAAGAAAACCGACGTGTGGAGCCTCGGGATGTTGATTCTAGAGACCATGACCGGAATATTTCCTTCGAGTTTCTTGCAACAAGGTAGCAAAAGAAACGATATGGATTTGGTGAGCTGGGTTGAGTCCGTGGTTAAGGTAGCAAACGCCGATGTCGATCAGGTTTTCGATAAAAATATGGGTGGAAAGCAGAAAAGTGAAAGGGAAATGATGAAACTTTTGCAAATAGGATTGAATTGCTGTGAAGCAGAAGTGGATAAGAGGTGGGATTTAAAACAGGCAGCTGAAAGGATTGAGCAAGTGAAGCGGAAGGATAATGATAATGATCAAGAATACAATTCCATAAGATTGTCTAATTGATTGATTCATTGTTAGACTAGGATAATTTTTGTAATTCATCTCTACTTAATTTTGATTTTTGGATTCTGGGATTTGGAAGACAACATAGTTTATTACAAATGCAAAACGCAAAATTTTCGCATCAAATCTGGGAAGTCTTTGTGCACTATTTCGCATCAAATCTGGGAAGTCTGTGCACTATGTGTGAATTAGTTATAAAATACATTTTTAGCCAAATAAACAAGAAAATTTGTGAGTTATTATAGAGTTGATTGTATTTCAAGGAGCAATTGTCGATAATGAAATTACATAAATGCTGAGTTATTATATCAATTGCAGTGGCAGGGAAAGGGGGCTGATCCACTTCTAAGATTCCATCTAGTCTTGTCGCAAATCTCCTATTCCGATCCTTTTGAAATTATTTTTTCCAAAATTGTATTTCTTGATGGTAATCTTCCTCACTCAAAAAGGGTTTTCATAATAATATCTTCTGAACCTTTAGAATCGACCGTTCCTCGAGTATAATTCTTGAAGGATCCAATCTGAACTTTGAAGTTTGTATCAAAAGCGAGAAAGATTCCGAGCTATTGTTCTCAATGAGGGAAAGTAATAGGTGAGAGTGTTTATCGACTTTGAGCCTACTCCATGAAGATGAAAGGAGGAGAGAAAAATCTCTCCTTTCGTTAATTTATAGCTACAAAGAATACACGGAAATTTCTGAGATGTTCTCTTATCCATGTCAAACACATTTCGAAAACTTCAATGGGTTTCTCAATTTTATTTAAATTCAGAAATCTTGAGAGGAAACTCCACGAAAACTTTTGATCAGATATTTGAAAACATGAATTAAAATGTGCACATTATTATGGACATTTTGTAGGTTTCAAGCAAGAAGTAACTTAATATTGTGCTGCAACAAACAATTTATATAAATTTCAAACTTTAATTCTTATATTACAAAAAATAAACATGTGATTACAGTTTACAACAATTCCAAATTGTGTATCCGTTATTTTATTTTTTTATTTTCAAAAAACAGTGTTTGCAAATGTGTTATGTAGCCTTTCGTTTCTCGTTTCTATTTCTGTCTAACCTACTTTTCATATACAATGACGGATTGTACCAAAACAGACATACAATACAAGTTGGTAAGATTGGATTCTTTTATCCTCAATAAAAATAATAAATAAATAAAATAATAATAAAAATGCTCTATACAGCAAAACAGAAGGAATGCTTCGAGTTGTTTGAGATTGAATTCTTAAAGAAGTCACTTATTGTCAAAATAATGAAATAACAAAAAGAATGTTCATAAAATGTATTCGTATGCATCTTGCGAAGGCATTGGAACTTCGGCGCTGGAAAGTAGAAGAACAGCAAAGACTAGAAGAGGCACGAATGGCTGAGGATGCAGCATTGGCAATTGCAAAGAAAGAGAAAGCAAAATGCAAGGTAGCTCTTGAGGAAGCCGAAGCCGCACAGACGACAACAGAATTTGAGGTGCAAAAAAGAATCGATGCTGAAATGAAAGCGCTCAAAGAATCAGAAAAGAAGAGGAAAGTACTCGATAAGATGGTCCACAATGATGAGAGGTATCTCAAATACTCACTAGAAGAGATTGATGTAGCAACAGACCACTTCTCAGAATCTCGTAAAATTGGGAAAGGTGGATATGAGCCAGTCTACAAGGGTTACCTGTTAGAAGTGTGACTAAAAAAGGAGTCTAAATTGCATTAGATTTCTTACCTTTTTTGGGACTCTTTTAGGGCTAGATTTTATACTATAAATACATGGCCCCTCTTTCAGTATTATGGAAGCCATTATTGCTGTAATTCTCTCATTTCATTGATTGAATAAAATAACATCGTTTCTCTGTCAGTTCTTTTATTTCTTTACTTTAATCTTGTTCTTGGGTTATTCGTGATCTTGTTAATTACTTCAATTACAACAAGTTGTATTCGTTAAATCTCAATTCCTGCATTATTGGTCAATCGGCCTCAACAAGTGGTATCAGAGCGGGGTTGTTGGTGGATTTTTGGCCTGAAACTGATCGAAAAATTGTCTAAAAATTACCAAAAAATCAGATAACGAATCTGTCCAATTTTTTGATTTTCTACCAGATCTGTTTTTTGCGTTTTCTATTCAAACCAAAAGGAGTTTGGAGAAACGAACACCACCAGTGGACTTAGCAGGCAGAAAGGGTTACAGGTCGCCGGTGCGTTTCCGGCCGATAGTCGGCGGTGGAACTCCGGCAAGGAGAGTGGCGGCGCGTGCGGCTATTTTTGACGACGGTGTCTTTAGACAGTTTTCTCCGGACGACGAGACAGACCTTGTGGTAGTGTCCAATTTCAGTTTTGGGCAAAATTGTGGTTCTAAACTATTTTGCCCCTTGCACGTTAGGTAGCTTTCCCCTTTTTTGGGTGTTGCAGGTTGCAAGTTCTTCTTGATTTGATTGAGATTTTTTACAAATGAATTCGTTGAAGTATGAAATTTCGCTATTGGATTGCAATACAAGATTTTCGCTGTGGCAAGTAAAGGTGAGAGCTGTGTTGACTCAAATGGATCTTGATGATACTTTGTTGGGTTTTGATAAGATGCCAGCAAGCTTGTCTATGGAGGAGAAACAACGGAAGGATCGGAAGGCTTTAGCGCAAATCCAATTTCATTTATCCAACAATTTGCTGCAAGATGTTTTGAAGGAGAAGACAGCGACTGCTTTGTGACTCAAGCTGGAGCAGTTGTGCATGACAAAGAGTTTGACGAGCAAACTGACTCTAAAGCAGAGGTTACATTCTAATCTCATGACGGAAGGAGGGTCACTGAAAGACCACCTTTTGTGTTCAAGGAGATCGTTGCAGATTTGGAGACGTTGGAGGTAAAATGTGATGAAAAGGATCTAGCCTTGGTCCTGTTGTGTTTGCTACCCAATTCTTTTTCGTCATTTCGTGATACTATTCTGTATAGTCGTGACATGTTATCCATTAAGGAGGTATACGATGCCCTATTCTCAAAAGAGAAGATGGAGTTGTTGGTTGGAGATCCTGTATCTAGGAGTGAGGATGCTCTTGTTACTCATGGTGATCAACGGAGGGGTAGATCGAAGGTGAAGTACAGCAATGTGTATTGTTATTACTGCAAGAGGAAAGGACACATCAAGAAAGATTGCGACAAGTTGCAAGGTAAAGCTGATTTACATGCAAATCATGCGGGGCAATCAGGTAATTCGAACGAGCTAATATTGCTGAAATTTTTTGTGATGATGGATATGTGATGTTGGCTGTATATGACGGGGAATCTAAACTTAAGAAGTGGATTTTGCTTGTTCGTATCATATGTATCCCAATAGGGCTTTGTTTCAAACATATGAGACGGAGAAGCAAGGTGGAGTTGTCATGGGAAACAACCAATCTTGCCGGGTTGCAGGAATCGATCAAGTCAGATTGAGGCTACAGGATGGAACAGTGAGGACACTTGATCAGGTTCGCCATGTTCTAGACTTGACAAAGAATCTCATATCACTTAGTACCTTGGATGAAAAAGGGTACAAATTTTCTGGTGGAGATGGAGTCTTGAAGGTTCGAAGGGATGTCCGGGTTGTACTGGAGGGACGGAGGAAATCCCAGTTGTACATCTTGCAGGGGAGCGCAGAACCAGTTCAGAGACATTTGGACAAGTTCAGTACCGTGGTGGACATTTAATTTGGTACAATACCTCTCGAGTTTGGCTCTGGGTCAGTTACGAACTTTGCTCAAGGGAGTGTTGATGATTTCGCTTTACCACTAATTTTAGCGAGTACACTATGTTCTTGTAATGCCAATGGACTCATAGAGCGTAGGTACAATTTTGGAGATGTCTGTAATGCTTTAGAAATCATTGAAGGTGACAATATTGGCAAGGGATCTTCTGATTGTACATTTGGTGTGGTTTCTGCTACAGGGTGTGCTTCAACCCTGTCCAGTGATTGTTAATTCCAAGAGGAATTTTGGGAACTCGGGTTTAGGTTCGGGTGTCGCTAGTGGACGTCGGGTGGGGGAACGTGTTATCGTGGAGAGTTTGGTTATTGCGTTGAGGAGATTGGTCAGTTCATTCTGATGCAGATGAATTATTTCTCAAGATGGAGAAATTTTGGAGTTTCGTTCGTTGCACCGAAATTTGAGTCAAGGTGGAGATTGTTAGAAGTGTGACTTAAATAGAAGTCTAAATTTCATTAGATTTCTTACCTTTTTTGAGACTCTTTTAGGGCTAGATTTTATACTATAAATACAGGGCTCCTCTTTCAGTATTATGGAAGTCATTATTGCTGTAATTCTCTCCTTTCATTGATTGAATAAAATAACATCGTTCCTCTGCCAGTTCTTTTATTTCTTTACTTTAATCTTGTTCTTGGGTTATTCGTGATCTTGTTAATTACTTCAATTACAACAAGTTGTATTCATTAAATCTCAACTCCTGCATTATTGGTCAATCGGACTCAACATTACCTTGATCATACACAGCCACAGGTTGTTATAAAGGTTCTGATGCAGCCCAAGGAAGATCACAATTTCGGCAAGAGGATGCTCCTAAACATTAGATTGAACTTGAAAAGCCACTACCCTCTCTCTTGGTAACACAAGTTTGTGAACTATGAGTGTTCCAACTCAATTTTCATAGTCAAAAATTCAAATGTTGACTAGTCAAGGTCAAAGTCAATTATGGACTAGAATGAAATTAAATATTTTATTTGGGGTTTATTTTACAATTGGCAAGGTATGAGGTTTAAATTGGATACAATTTAAAGTTGGGAATTTACTTTTATATTAAGGGAAGTTATAGGATTAAATATCATTCAAAAAGGGGTCGAAGGACTTATTTTGCAATTTTTGAGTAAGTGAGATTTATATTCAACCTTTGACCATTATTTTCTTCCAAAAACACACACACACACAATAGAAAAACAGTAGAGAGTTGGAAAGGCCGAGAAAGGGAGAAAAAATAAGGAAAAAGGGAAGAAAGAAGAGAAAGAAGAAAAAAAGGAAGAAACGGGAAGAAGAGGACACGAGGTAAGCTTAATCTCTTCAAGGTTGGGTTTAATTTTGCCATTTGTTTCCAAGTGAGAGAAGTATGATATATGTTGAAATTCTAGGATTTTAACTTGTAGTAAAAAT